TTTTAGGGTTTGATTTCCTCACATTTTTTCTAAATATCCAATTCATAGTAGAACTGAGACATTTAAGAAGTGCAGGCTCATTCATTATGCATTGCAAAGTGCACTTTCTTTCAATTCATTCATGGTGCAAGACCATCAAGGTTAATAGGACAGCAGAACAAAAATGGTGTTTACTCCTTACAACATTGTCATAATTTTGAACTTACAGGTAGGTAGGAATAGAGAGACCRAAGGGGAAAAAAATAGAAGGGAAAAGCCCCTTGTTGAAGTCAATACTTCCTCATTTATATTTTAAGTAAACAACTGTTAACGTGAAAAATCAGATTGAGTATAAATGATCGTTTAATTCAACCATCCCCCAAAGATGATGAATACACGGCACACTTTGATTCGCATATTAACTGATAAAAGCCTGCTTGCCTTCCAAACACAGATTCCCTTGACCTCAGACTTTCCCAAAATAACATCCATCAACTAGTATGTGCAAGATGCTGTACTAACCACTTTAAATGCATCACCTCATTTTATAGCCTCACAATATTCTAAGAGAGGTCAATTATTATTCCCCTTTTAGAGAATTAGAGATGAAGTCACACAGTTACAAGGGGCAGTCAAAGCCAGGTTCATTTTCCTCCAGTGTCCATGGTCATAATGACAACACTATATAACCAGATTCCACCAGCTGGCCAGAGTTCGCACATAATATATGAGCTGTTTTCCATCAGGGTTCTCCTTGCATGCATGTTCCTTCTCTGGCATCACAAGTAGGGGGTCACAATAAAGGCATGTTATTGCTTTAAAAAAAAGAAAGAAAGAAAAGTTCTTTCCTATTCATGGGTCACAGGTTTGCTTTTAAAGGCAACACAGAGCAATTTATTTGGTTGCATATGATAGCACCACTGGACCTCCCACCTCCCCTCTGATATTTTCCTGTGAAGGGTCCTCTTGGCTGGCGTAAGGACCTTCTGTTATTTCATCAGGCCATATGTGCCTTTTATGTGTTCTCCATCCTTCTCTAGCAGTGCTTGTTGCCTCCATCTCCCTGAAAAAGAGAATATGTTGCCAGAAAGGTTGGACCAGCTCTGGGTACACTAGGACTACCTACCTGCCAGGTTCTGGTTCTTTTGATTATCATGCCTGGTGATTGATAATTCAACCAAATTTTATAACTCCATTAGYTTACACTGAGATTTAACAGTCTACTAAGTTAGCCTAGGCCTCAAATTCCAAATAAGGAGCTGGATATGAAAAAGAAAAAGTAGAAGAAATCTGAAAAGTGGTTGAAGAAGAAAAGTGGAGGAGATAGAAATATTTCTGTCAAAAGAGGCTGCCAAGTTTCCCATATCTATCAAGTGTCCTCATATCTATGTAGAGTACCCTTAACAAAATTTAGTAAAAGTGACCCAGTCCCAAACGGTCTTACTCTGCCTGAAATCTCATCATTTACAGATTCATTGGGGTTAATAAGCGAAAGCAAGCAACAAACAAAACCAAAAGCAAAACATTAAACCAATCCCAAAAAACTAAAGGCCAAATGTTTTCTCTGATATGTGGATGCTAATTCATAATAAGGGGGGTTCCTATGGAAGAAATGAGGCACTTTGGATTAGACAGAGAAAATGAAGGGAGGGGAGGGGGTATGGGATTAGGAATGATAGTAGAATGAATCAGACTTTATTACCCTATGTGCATATATGATTACACGACCTGTAAACTCCACCTCATGTACAACCAGAAGAATGAGAAGTTATACTCCATTTATGTATGATGTGTCAAAATGCATTCTACTGACATTATCATTAATTAGAACAAATACAAATTTAAAATTAAAAAAGAAATAAACCATAATGACCTAAATTACCAGATAGGCATATACCCTATGTGAATTTTAAGAAGAAAGCCATTTGGTTAGCAAATAATTCTATGTCATTATTAGCATACCTTTTTGATTGGGATAAGGATGAAGAAGGTGAGGAAGGCTGAGATTTGGGGATGGAGATAGAGAAAAYCAAAATCCGGGGAATGAATGAGTACATAGATAGATAGAGGATGGTGGATTTTGAACTTGCATCACGGTAGAACACTTGAGATACATGAAGACCATAAGTATTTTATTATGGGCAGACCTAGATGGCAGGGCACCATGTGAGCCATGTGGCAACAGGTGGGCAGCAGGAGAACAACGGACAGTTTCAGAAGGCAAATTCACCTCTGTGGCCACTTGATCCAGGACTAGTAAATCTGCTGCTTTCTTCTCCTCCCTGATCCCAGGCCAGATGTCATTCATCTCTTATCACATCCTCAGACATGTCCTGTGTTCTGTTTTTCTCAGCATCTCCACTTCCTCACAATGTCTAGTGACAAACACGCAAGAAAGCAAAGTTGCTGGAATAGCCTTTCCACCAAATATCCTGTCTGCAAAATGCTACAGCTGGAAGGAGAGTGGTGAGAGCCATGGGACACACTGACTCCCAGGGGTCCTCCCAGGACAGGGAAGAGGAGGAGTCAGAGGCTTCAGGTGAAGACCGTTATTCTGAGCAGGGCCCAGTTTACAAGAGATTGCAGCGTGGTGGAAAACTGCACCAAGGTCTGACAAATGATTTGGGGTTTTGCAATCGACCTCATTTAACTTAATTTAATCACAATAGCTGTCCAACCATTCTATTTGCTCTCTAGATAAAAAGCTAYGGCCAAACCCCTAAGTCTCATTTTTTAGATACTCGAAAGTGTGGGGTGGAATACAACCAATGAAAATCAATGACAAATAAGCTGCTGTAAAGCAGGGACTGCAGCTTATTAGGTTCAATTTTACACAAGAGTGACCTTGGATACTTGGTATTTGACCCCTAAATGGCCCCAGCTGATCCCAATTACTATCTGTGCACASACACTTGAGTTTTCTACAAGTCAACACACTAATAAAGCTTTGTTATCAGGCTGAAACTCTAGTTAGATGACTGGATTTAGTCTAGGTATGTGCTCTACTAATACTGAAAGGGGACACAAAAAGGCCTGGAAGGCATTTTGATTCTATAAGACACAACTGTATTGCAAAACTGTGGTTTACCTTTTGTTATTGATTTTAAGCAGTTATTTAGCATGAACTATTGAGAAGTGTAGTTCCCTTWGTAGTCCTACAAACAGGACAAGGTACATCATCTTGTACACCTACCACAGCTATGGTTTAAATGTCTGTGCCCCCACCCTGAACTTGTATGGGGAAATTTAACTCCAAGGTGAAAGTGTGAAAAAAAAAATGAGGCTTCTGGGTGTGCGTATGTGTGATTAGCTCATGAGAGTGAAGTTTTCATCAACGATCATTTACAAGAGGCCTCGGAGAGCCGCCTTGTCCCTCCCACCAATGGAAATTGCCCCCAGGAAGAGGTATAGAAAGTGATATCTGTAAGGAACAGGACCTCACCATATAACAAATCGCCCAACACCTTCATCTTAAACTTTCCCAGCTCTAGAATTCTGAGAAATAAAATTCTTGCTGTTTATAAGACACTCAGTTGTAACAGGCCAAATGAAATTAAAAACATAGTAACCCACATGAGACAGAACAGGTAAAGGTACAAAGGGACAGACAGGAGCAGGGGTCCTAAGTGATTTGCTTGCCCATCTGCCAATGCTCCTTATTGTGATAATAGCGCCTCAATTTTTCTTTCCTCTACATTCAGTTCATATGACTTTGACATCTTACTCCTGTCATGTTCTCCCAGGTTCCAGGGGTGAAAAAGTGACCCAGATCTGGTCAATTGGGTCATTTCCTTTCCTCCTGACTTTATGGGTTACCATGGAGCACAAGACAGGTTGATAGAATCCATGCAAAACTAGTTAGAAAGAAGAGTTGAGTGTCAAAAGGACCACAGAACAGAAATTTGCTGGACCTAGTTTTCAGGACAACCCTGGGAACTTTTAAATATTTTTCTTCCCTGCTAAAATGACTTTGAATTGAGTTTTTGTAAATTTTCCCTTAAAAAAATTCTGAACAAGGTAGGGATCATTCTGTTGGAATTTTATTTCTTTTGATTTACTCTGTAGTTGAACAATAACATTTAATATGAAGGCAGGTAGCTTTAAGTTGACCTGATGATTCTGGCTGCCTAGTGTTCACCATCTGGTGTAACCCTGTCCTCTTGAGTATAGGCTGAACCCTGTGACACTCTTCTATTGAATGGAAGCCAAGAGTGATGGGCTGTCACTTCCAAGATTAAGTTTCAGAGAAGCTATGGCTTTTGCTGACATGCCCTTTCTTGCCCTCTCTTGGCTCTCCTTGCTCTGAGGAAGGCCAGCTGCCACATATGAACTGCCCAAAGGGGAGAACCTTGTGAGGAAAAAAACGAAAAACAAAACCCAAAGCTGAAGCCTCTAACCAACAGCCAGCAAGGACCTGAGGCCTGCCTGCAGTCACGGAATTGAGCCTGGACAGGAATCATCCCCTAGTCCAGCCCACAGGTAACTATAACTCCAGTCTAGACCTTGATCACAACTTCCCGAGAGCCCAGAAGCCCAGGGACCTAGCTAAGCTGATCTCCAGACTGTAAGATGTGGTTGTTATTTTAAGCTTGTAAGTTTTGGGCTAATTTGTCATGTAGCAATATATAACTAATAGAATGAAATTAACCTGAGTAGATTAACAATAAAATATTCATTCTTTTCCTCTCTATTATATTTCCCAAGACAACTCTCAATTATTTCATTTATAGGACTTACAAATGCAGTTTTAATATATTGAAGTTAGTAACATAATTATATTGATATGAGAGAACTATATTGATAGTAATAAATTATGTGGTTCTAATGAAATATGGCATTTGAATTGTAAGAGTCTTTTTTTTTTTAAAGAGAGAGAGAGAGAGAGAGAGAGAGAGAGAGAATTTTTAAATATTTATTTACTTATTTATTTATTTTTAGTTTTCGGCAGACACAACATCTTTGTTTTGTATGTGGTGCTGAGGATCGAACCCGAGCCACACGCATGACAGGCGAGTGTGCTACCGCTTGAGCCACATCCCCAGCCCAATGAATGGTAAGATTCTTTAAGAGAAATTCTGAGAGTTGAAATGCCAATCTAGTTTAGACTAGTCTGTTTTACAAATACACACATTGAGAACCTGCTGTGTTCCACACATAGAAAGATAAATAGTGCAATTGGCCTGTTGCAAAGAGTTCAAAGGAGAGGAGAGAAACAGGTAAGACTGAAACAGATTAATCAAGGGAAGACTCACTCTTACTAGGAGTGTGACACTGAATAAGCCATTTAACTGTTCAGTGCTTTGTTTTCCTCATTTATAAAATGATGAATAACAATAATAACTGCTGATTAATCACCTTATAAGATTGTTAGAAGGACTAAAAAGAATATATATATATATATATATATATATATATATACACACACACACACTGTAAAATGTCAAAATAAAATAAATCATTAAAAGTATAATGCTTATTATAAAAAATATAATATATGGGCTTTACTGGAGAAATAGATAAGAATCATTCATAATTCATTTACTGTTTACAGCATGTGAAAAAAATTTCCATTGCCTATTTAAATATGTTCTTAAATTTGAAATTTGTACTCTAAAGGTACCTGGTTTGAACACTTCTTTAAATACCATGCAATCTGAATTGCTTCTCTAAATGTAAATGTCTCACACTTTCATCTTAATTTATTCTCTGTGAGAAGACACTTTATAGTAATTGTTTCAGGAAAACTGAGTGAAAAATACATAGAACATGCAAATTCCAATCATTTTGGTCAATTCAAAACTTTTGTGAGCAAAAAATTTTCTGCCCTATGAAAAAAAGACAGAATTTTATTTGATATTACATTTAAACAGTGTTTAAAGTTACTATTTAGAATCAATTAAATGTTCTCATTGCTTCTATTACCTTCTCCACCAAGGTTCCTCTGATATTCCTTGCGAATCATTAAATCAACATTTTGAGGTCACTGGAAAACAMTTTATTTTTCATATTTTCAATTTGCCACTGTACTTCAATTCATTATTCTAGTCCAAATAGCAGATCTGTTAATAAAAATGCACAGGCAAGAATAATTGATTTCATTTTAGGGAAAAGATATCAACAGTAAACTGCTTTGGACTGAGCAATCAATGGTTATTGAATTCTAGACTCCAGGCTAATATTTCCAGCTCTACAAGGTCCTTGAGACTCCAGTTGCCCACTTTGCTTTTAATGAACAAGGTCAAAATCATGAAATGAAATACTATGACTCTAATAGCATACTTTATCTCAGAAAAATTTTAGCCTCTAGGCATCATAAACTGCCAAGTATCTTTCCAGTAAGCCTAAATGTTAATATACATATCAAAGTTGAAGATAAATATGTCCCTTGGAATCCAGKTGTACTCTAGTTGTCTACACTTTGGTAAAAATAAAATTAAAATAAACATTTATTAAGCTCTAACTATGGGCTCACCAAGCAGCAAAGGGACTTTAAAGTTGATGGAATAGGTAAAATATAATTGAAAAACTTAGAAAATACAGAGAGTGAGGAGTGAAATTTAGGTTTCTAGTTTGTACAAATTTTAACAGGATAATGCCTTTAACTAAAAAAGGGAAGGAAGGTAGAAGGAACATGTTTGTGATAAGGGATAAAGGGCTTAGGTTCAGTTTCTAAGAAGTTGAAATCTGAGATGATGGAGCACCCAGATGACAGTTGGACATAGAGAACCTGAGCTCATCTGTGGTATCAAAACTATAGAGTATACAGAGTGGGAAGGCAAGGACTCAAACTCCAGGAAAGACAAAGAGCTAAATCAGGAGGAGGCACAGAAGGAGAAGGTCATCAGAAAAGTGGAGAAGAACCATGAAAAAGATGGACCACAGATGCCAAGACAGTGGGAAGACTCCAAGACCAAAGGAATGAGCAACTGCCAACTTRGACAGCAAGATCAACAAAGTGAAGGAAGTTCTAAAGAACTCCTGGTGATCTTTGCTTTAAAGTTGCACTAATAATCTTAGCTAGGTCATGTTCAGTGCAATGGCRGGAGTGGAATCCAGAGGGCCACGCAACATTATTCAATTATTCTGATATTAACTAGGCACCTTTGTTGTGCTTTGAGGATAGGAAAGTACATATGAAATTTCTGGTAAAAGATATGTGGGAGGCTGGAGAAGGTAGGGAAAGCAGAGTCAAGWSTACTCAGAAGTAGCCTTTATCTTTGGTTGAGAGAGTGTACAGGCATGAAGAAGGGAGGTGCGATTTGGGAACAACTGTTGAAGGAAAGGGYAAGAGAGCAACTGGAAATAAAGACAAAAGATTGATGACTGGTGTTAAGAGCCCAGCTAAGGCTGGAACTCATAAATCTGTAATGCGGCCAACCACCATGGTGGTGCARGTTTTCCTTCCAGTAATGCCAGTAGCTTGGGAGCAGGAGTGAGGACYACAGATGGTCTGAAGCAGCTCAGGTTGAGTACTGGCAGAAGCCCRAGGCTGAAGTGTCAAGGGGAGATGAATATTTGAGGGGCCTGTTGATTTACCAGGGAACCAGACACCTAATGGAAGAAGTCCACAGCATTCTCACTGGTAGAGAGGACAGATAGGGCACTGAAGGACATATGAGTTTAACATTTAGAATTGAAGGAGAGTGAGAGGGGGGAAATGGGACATAGGGAATACTGAAGGAGAAAAAGGATATAAAAATGAAGAATCTGATAAAAATTAAGAGGTATAAAATGTCTTAACAAAGTAAAGAACTAATACTATACTTCAAAAAAAGATGCCCTTCACTATGAATTTTCTCTAGATAGTGTAAAACTTGTCTTTTGTTTTTAATAGGAAACAGATTCAAATCWTATCAGGTCATTTCTGAGATTCACTATTACATCTCAAACAAAGAGATCACTATCATGATAATAAAGTCTTACAATTTCTGATTATTTGGGAACCTTTCAATCCAAAGAAGGAAAAACCATAAAGCAAAAGTCTTCCAAATGAAAATAATAAATAGCAAATTGTCTGAGACAATTACAACATCACAAGTAAGACACCTAGACAAAACCAAGCTGATACTAGGTTAGGTAAATGACAGAACCTGACACCAAGTTCMTTGACCATTGTTGTCAAGAACCAGAATAATATTCACTTGAAATATTTATACTTTATTGTAAATATGTTTAGCTTTATTTGAGAAATATTTCCCATCAGTATCTCTGCTATGTGGGGATTTATTCTATTAGAAAGCAGGGTGAATATGATTCATATGTAACTTAGTAATAGAGAAGGTAAAGAAAGGAAACTAGCTCCTATATCACTCTCAAATTCTCATGAACTCAAGAATTTATTGGGGACCCCTGGAGACCTCTGCTGTTACAATGTGTTTATACCCACATTCACTTTTTTGCTCATGATGCATTGGTTTCATATATAGCTTTAATAATGTGAGTGAGAATTCTCACAGACAAAAAAATGCATTCATAGTTAGATAGTCCTAAGGCCAGACGTGGCACAGTGCTCCTGCTTTTGGTTCCATGTTGCTSAGGAATTAGGAACAAGCCTTAGTCAAGATCTCCACCCTAGACTGGATCCACTTGCTCATCTTGGTGATAATAAATCCAAGTGTCTTCTGGTCCAAACACATTGTGGATTATTAACATCAGTTTCTAATTTCAGATTTGGTGAGACAACAACAGAGTCACACCAGAAAGTAAGGCAAGTTRTCCTGTTCAAAGCACAATTGAATTCAAAATAATTGAATGAGCAGGACTAAGAAGGAAATTTATCTAATTACACAACAGTTAGTCCTAACAGTAGCTACATTTACTGCTTTTTCTRTTTTTAGAGGCAAGGAATTATATCCAAGCCAGCTTAGGCCAGTTTGTCCAGAGGGTAAAGGTTGGGATCTGGAGGGCACCCTTGAGCAGCCACTAGGGGAGGGATCACAGAGCACAGTGTCTGGGGGCTTGCCACACAGCACACAGCCCTCAGCACAAAGTATGGGCTCAAACAATATTTCACTAATAGTACCTAGMAGACCAGAAAATTGTGTGACATTGGGAAAGTTAATTGGACTTTTTTGGCTCCAGCATATTTAGAAAATAAGGATAATAATATCTGTTTTGTAGAGTTATGTGCATTAAATGAAATAATGCATGAAAAGTGTTTCACCCAGGACCCAACACACACTAATCTCAGGACTTTCTAATAAAGGCCGGTTGAAAAAAGAAGACAGAYCTAGAAAATCTTATGAAATATATATGTTTTCTTTCTCCGCCTCCTTCTTCCTCTTCTGACTTCATGCATTTTGTTTCTCTAAMACTGTGATAAGAGCTGTTTTCTATGTTATATGGAGTAGTAGGAGAGGCCACAGTCAGGTTTAGTTTGGATGTGGCGAACTAAATCTCTTGTGATCAGAGAATTGTTTTCTAAACTTCCTMATCAACTGGATATGTGAATATTGACTATGAAGTAATCAGATATGCTTCTGTGGKTAGAAGATGGGAACCAGTGTCCTTCATAGTTTGGCAAGCAAGAAACATCTCCTGATGGGCTAGGCAATGCCCAGGTGCTGGAACATGAAGATGATAAAGTAGCACTCTCAGGTGGCAAGCACATGTAAGTACTCACAAGACCAGGTGGTACGTGGGCATGCCACTCACACATACTAGAGCCCAGGTTTARCCCTTACATGAGTGAGCAGAGTGGCAGGGAGCTGCACCTGATGGCAGGCAGTCTTTGAAGTCATGAGAAGGGTTTGAGGGATGATAAAATAAAAGCTACACCAACTTCACGGACTTAAATACTTATGCCAGTCCTATTCTTAGTGGCTGGGGTTGTGGCTCAGTGGAGGAGTGCTTGCCTAGCACATGCAAGGTGCTGGTTTCAATCCTCAGCACCACATAAAAATAAATAAATAAATAAATAAAATAAAGATATTGTGTCCAACTACAACTAATTTTTTTTTTAAATCACTGAATGCTACTACGTTGTTATAGTTAATATGTAAAACTAAAGGAATGGACTATAAGGCTCCAACAGTTCTCAACTTTATGCAATTT